ATTGAACACAGCTGTGAGCCGTAACCAATGGACTGAGAGCAAAAGAAAAGAGGGTGGAGGAGGGAGGGGGATTGAAAGGGTGTTTTAATTATAATCAGCAATACAATCATTACATCAGTGCTCTGATTGAAGAGCAACTCAGAAGGTGCAGACACACACACACACAGACAGAGAGAGAGGAGCGGTTTAAATCCGGAACATACCTTGTCAAATCCAGTCCAGAGGCTAATACCCCACCGCCTCACCTCAGAGAAAAGCAGTGCCGGGGGTAAAGCCTGTCGGTTCACACAGGGCCATCCTAGCAATGTCTCTGGGATGCTTTTTTTATGTAGGTAATAAGCATACCGTACAGCTTCTATTTGAATGGGGAGAGATGGAAATGTCCAAAACTATTTGTAAAAAATTCTGCTTCAGTAACATGTCAAATCAACAGTGAGCAATCGTATCATTTTTTAAACTCTTTTTTTTTCTTATTTTTCTCCAGCATCTGTGAAACGCATCTTTCCCATTGAAATCACTTTCTCTGATGCAGCATACATGGTAATTTGCTGGTGACCTTAATATCATTAGCTATATGTAAGCATAGACATATTTAGTCAAGTCTACTTGCCGTGGTCATTTACAGCATGCAGAATCCTGTCGATTTCTCACATTTAATTATATTTTATAACATTTCTGACCTTTTTAAACCTTGATGAGAGTGCTGTTGGTGCATAGAAAGGGATTAGCATTTCTGCATTCATTAAACTAAATATGCTTCTCGCAACTATACACTATTTCATGATTAAACGTTTGTGTTCTGTTTATTACCAAAGCATGACTGAAGTGTCTTATGCTTACCTGGTTTAGCAACCTTCTGTATCACCAAGAACACTCAAAAATTTGTATTTCAGGTTACCCGAGCGCAACTCATCCTTCTGAGAGATAATCATTTTGCATTAGATATGCTTATACATCTTCATATTAACTACTGCTAATTTAGGATGAGAAACTATATTTGTCTGCATTGTGAATGTGTTCTGTCTCCACCGCAGTCGCTGCAAATGACTGAATTCAAAGGTACTGCATTATGGCAAGCCTTGTTAAACAGCGAAATATTGATTATAACTAGGAGCTAATTAGTTACGGACTTACTGTGCCAAGCATCTGTTGTTTTGGGTCTCTGGGAGGAAATTTCATAAATTACTTCTTTTAATGGAATAGTTCACCCAAAAATGAAAAATCTGTCTTCATTTTCCCATCCTCACGTTGGTCGACTTTCATAAAAGATGAAATGGCATGAAGGAAATGTCCAATCTATTCTTTTCCATTCAACGACGGTGGATGCTGTGAGTAAATGATGACAAAAATGTTAATTTTGGTCGAATTTCCATGTAAATTGCCATTTTTCCTGTATAATGTAACATCTTTTAAAGTGAAAGGAAATATTAAATGAAAAAAAATGGTAAAGAGTGGTTGTCTGACATCACAGTGAAGCTTCAGTGATTGTAGAAACTGACTAAAAGCTAATTGGGTATTGATTGATTAACATTATCAAGGGAAATTCATTTCAGAACAAACCATTCCTCTTGGAATAACATGTGTTGATGAATATTTTACAGTAAGACCAGCAGCATGCATTAGTAAAATAGGGGGGGTCCATTTTGATTCCATGTTGGCTTGAACACATTAAGCAATGGTGCCATACTCGTAATTAATTGTCTTTTGAGATGTTTCCTTTCTTGTGGTATTTTGCAACCATATGAAACATTGAAATTGTTTGTCCATCTCATCTTTTCACAGGAGATTCAACATGGCCGCTGCTGTCGTCTTGCGTGTTTGTTGGATCCGGGCTTGAACTCGCCTGCGTTCTTCCTCGAGTGCTCTTAGAGTGCATGATGTCAGTGCATTTCTGCTGCCTTTCCGAGATGAACGACTGAAATATGAACCTCATTCAAGCTTTCTGGACCTCCGGTGCGGTGTCTGATTAAATCAAGTCCCTCAAACGACCATCCGAGGGGGGGACCAAGGAGTAGACGTGGCTGCTGGTTGGTGGTGGTGGAGGACGAGGAGGTGGCGGAGGAGGGGGGTTTGGAAGCCATCTTTATCCTTTGGAATATACCATTTGTGGAATACAACTGTGTGTTTGGAATATCGCAGAACTTTGGGAGTTTCACTGTAGTTTTTGGAATCCTTTTGGAATATTGGGAATTTGGCTCCTGTTCGCAGTCATGAAGGTGAACCCGAGCTCTTGTTTGTGTCCTGTACTTTTGTGCCTGTGTTTTCTGGAGAGGGGTTATGAGGCAAGCCATCACGGCCAAGCCAAAATCATTTCCAGGAGCCACAATGCAACTCACAACCACAACCAGACTAAGGACGGGGAAACAGAGGTCCACCATCGGCCCAAACGCGGATGGATATGGAACCAGTTCTTTGTCTTAGAGGAACACATTGGTCCAGATGCACAATATGTAGGAAAGGTAAGCATGTCATTTTCAGTTCTGGTTTGATAATCTGGTTTGCCTGGACTAGTTTGCAGGTTTTAGAGGATTTGGGGGCATTTGTCAGCTTGGCCGACCAGCTAAACCAGCTTGCCAATACTAGCAGACCAGGTTGACCAACTTATACCAACTAATTTGTCTTAGCCAATAGTTGATATACCTGGGTCATGGAATTAATTTACTGTATTTACTTATAACATCCAAGTGAAAGATAAAAAACACCAACATGTCAGAAAAAAATAAAAACCAGAATCACTGAGTTGTAAAAAGGATCACCCCCTCCTAAAAATGAGACTATGTAAACTCAATCAGATATAGCTGATCACTTTCTCAATGGCACACAAAGCCATTTGACTTTCAACTGTGATCAGATGTGGTCATTTTGATTAGCTCAGCATGAAAACTCAGCTCTCCTGGAGAATTTCCGTTCTCAGTAGTGCAACTGAAGCCAACAATCAGCTATGGGTGGCAAGGCACTCTCATAAGATCTCCGGGATAAAGTTGTGGACAGGCACAAGTCAGGAGATTGATACAAAAAAAAATTAATAGGCTTTATCAATGCCTAGAAGCACAGTGAAGTCTATTATTAAGAAGTGGAAGATATTTGGTATAACACAGTCCCTCCCTGGATCAGGACTTCGCTCCAAACTGGATAAAAGAGCCAGGAGGAAACTGGTCAGAGAGGCGACCAAGAGGCCTACAGCAACTCTGATGCAGCTGCAGGAATTTACAACAAAGAGTGGACATTGCGTGCACGTGACAACAATATCACAAATTCTACACAAATGTTGTAAGGAAACAGCCACTCCTCTAGAAAGGCCACATGCAGTTGCGACTGAGCTGAAACAAAACACACCTTGAACATTCTGAGTCCACATGGAAAACCGACCAGCTAAACCAGCGTGCCAATGCTGGCAGACCAGGTTGACCAACTTACCAACTAATTAATCCAATATAAGTTTGTCTACCTGGTTCGTGCAAAAAAAATGTTTTAAGTAATACATAATTATTTTATTTTATTTTATTTTATACAATAACCTTTAGGCAATGAATAATGATTTACAGCCTGCTATTGGACAAAACATTGGAGTGCACAAGTCTTTGGTTTGTTTTCCTTGAAGGGAAGGACTTTAAATGGGTATATGAAAATTTTGAATTTAAACCAGCCTAAGGTGGTTTGGTAGTCTTAGCTGAATTAAATTGGTTGCGGTTTCCCAGCCTGACCAGCTGATAAGAGTCCAAAACCCCTTTAAAACCATCAAATAGACCAGCCTGACCATGTTGGCTGGCTTTAAGACCAGCACATACATTGGGCTTGTTGATGTTATTTTTTACATGGATATAACAGCAGTCTAATGTTGAAACATGTTAGACCCTCATGAACAACATAAATTTGTAATTCAAGCAAGTGACCTTTTGCTCTTTCTCTGACCTTATTCCATCACTTGTCTACACCCGCAGGCCTTGATCGATAACATCCTTGCATGGAGTTAGCTTAGCACAGCAAAACAACAGCTCAGGACGGCAGCTTGACTTATTGGTTCGTGTTTGAGATTTGACAGCCTTCATCATTTTGGCTAGAGTCATGCCGGTTCTCTTGTGTTTGCCTCATGGGCTTGTCGATCTTGTGAAACATGAATTTTGTGTCCATGCCAAATTGCAAATAGGGCCATGAATCTATTAGGATTAGCAAGTCAGTCTGCAGTCAACATGGAAACTTTTGCACTGACCACATTTGTGTGTGTTTTACTATATGAATGCTATAGGCTATAGAGATACAGCATATAGAGAGCTTTATGTGCGTGAAGGAAATATCACTTTTAGGATGATTTCATTTTCAAATATCTTCTTTACTTTTATAGTTAATGAAAATCGAATAGCTATTTCAGACTATTGCTTTTTATATTTGTGTGTCATTTTCACAATTTTATTTCCACAATACTGTTTGAAATATTAGACTTTGAAAATATTGGCAAAAATAAATTAAATAATGCGATAAATGGACTGTAGACATGACATGCCAATTTAACTGTCCTGAAAAAAAAAGCAAGTCATTTGTTTCTTGCATTTTCATAATCTGGCCATGAATAAACATGTATTTTATTTTATTTTATTTCTTTTTTTTTTTTACCATTTAAAATAAAATGTGTAGAAATTGTCCTGCAGTGTAATCTTAATCATAAATTGAAGTAAAGAAACAAATGAAAGACATGAGTATTCAAATGGAAAACATTTTTAAATGATTAATTGTCATTTAAATTAAGTTGATTTTACCTTATAATAATATTTCACATTATTATTATTATTATTATTATTATTATA